GGGGAGAGGGGACGGGTGGTGAGGGGGAAGAACTGCGCAGGCTAACGTTGATTGGATGTGGGCTTGCAGATGACGGAGAGGTGTTGACGTGGGGATGGGGCCAAGGGGGTGCCCTTGGTCATGGAAACTCCATGAATCAAGGGCTGCCGAAGCGGGTCTCCGCCTTGCGAGGAATCTCCATCTGCCAGGTGGCAGCTGGATGGAATCACACGGCTTTCGTTGCAGGTGCGTATGTCTGGACTGTGAAGGAAGAAGAATGATGATGTGGTATTATAACCAACTGTACATTTATGTGCTTTTTCGGGTCAGGGTTTCCCGTCATTGTCCTTCAAAGCTGTTGTTTTTGCTGGCTTTTTTGTTTTTGTTTTGTTTTTGGTAATCGTTTCATGGACTGCTGGGAGGCAATGGCTAGCCAGCTGATAGATTTTGTTTTTGTTTTGCTTTTGGTAATAGTTTCATTGTCATTCATATTTATCAATTTTCAAATCTGATTTTTTTTATTGGTTGACGCAATGGCTAGCCCACTGGCAGCTGACTCTGACTGCCATGTGTCAGTCAATTGTGTTTTTCCTTTTTTTTAATCTCAGACTCTCTCTCTCATTCTCTCTCACACTCTCTCTCTCTCTCCTTCCGCTGTTTGCAAAGACAGGCAAGGGCTCATTGAAGACTAAACATGAGTACACTGAGCTGAAAGCTGAATGACCAACGAGTCTAGCTGAGTTGGTACACCCACAATCTGTTGAAATACAGGCCCAAGTTTGAATCCAGACAAAGCGGAGAGCACACCAATCTTAAGTACACTTGTCAATGAAAGCCCTCTTTGCGGCTCCAACAATCAATACAATAACAGAATAGTGATCCTAGCTATGATGTGTCCCCCTATAATATTTCCCTACACGCCTCTGCATTCTAGCCTAGTGCCTCTGCCTCTCTCTCTCTCTCTCTCTCTCTCTCTCTCTCTCTCTCTCTCTCTCTCTCTCTCTCTCTCTCTCTCTCTCTTTCCTCTTGCCAGATGCCGCTGAAGAGTCTGATCACGTTGGCGCTCCTCGGCGAACACCGGTAAGTATCCGCGAGTTCCCACTGCTTTTCCCCTCTCCCGACTTGCCTGGACCACCTGCACGGCGCCTGCGAAACAGATATGGCAGTGCCACTGCTACCGTCTTCACCCAAATTAGAATGCCCGGGCATTGTCGCTGTATTTGGGCCGACATTTTTTCTAGATACGGCAATAATGACCGGGCGTTCTATTTGGGTGAGGGCGGTAGGAGCCACCTCTGTGCTGCTGCCTTTCTGGAGTGGTCCCTTGTTCTGCGCTTTGCCAGTGCTCACGCATTCACACACCCGCTGGCATATGTGTTACTTCCCTCAGCCTCCTCTTTTTTGTCCTGTCCAAGGCCGAGGTCTGGGGCTACCGGTAGGCAGTCATTAACAGCCTGGATCCCGGCCCAGGTACCTGCGTGGGCTGTGTCTCGACAGAACCTACTGGGCGGTTACCTGGGCCGAACTCAGAAGGTTTCCAGGGCAGCGGGCGCAGCCTTCTTCTAGGACCCCGCCTGCACCTTTTCTTGCCGGCTGTTTCCCAGACCCGCCGAGCCCCGGAGCCTTGCACCTATTTGAATGTCGTAGAAACTTAGCACCGGAGGTGAGGGTCAAGTGGCGATTGCATCGGGCGGAAGACACAGCGGAGAATCCCAGATTGTCACACATCACCTCCACCGGTCATCGTGGCCCGAGCTCGTCACGTCAGATGTCATACGTCTATGGTTGGTTACGGGCATGGGGACTGGTAGGCGCCTCGCTAGGCCCACTGGCCAAAGTGCACTCTTGAAAAGCCAGATTTGGGCAGCAAAGAAAAATTACAGGAAAAAAAATAGGGTGCTAGTAAGATAGAGGCCTTGAATAGGCTTTATCGAGCGTTAGGCTGTGGGTGGCATTGATTAGATTTGCTCTGGCGATGGGGCCAACCCTGGGGGAAATGATTAAACAAACAGGCTGTAGATGGCCAAAACCCATGACACTGAGGGAAAATACTAAAATAGAAACTAGACAGGAAGGGAACTCTTATCTGATATGTTTTTTTTTTCTTTCTTTTTCTTTTCTTTTTTCTCTTTTTTTTTATCAGCATCGGTGTGGACAGCTGCCCACACAATGCAATATCATCATAGCCAGCCATCTTATTATACAACCGATATGTAAGCAGTACTATCTGATATGTAAGCAGTACTATCTGATATGTAAGCAGTACTATCTGATATGTAAGCAGTACTATCTGATATGTAAGCAGTACTAAGCACATTGGCTATGGTGTAAGCAGTACTATCCGTACTATCCGTACCATCCGATATGTAAGCAGTATATCTGATATGTAAGCACACAGTTTCCTGAATTTTTGTCTTCTTGACAATGCATTCATTATTGCGCACGGACAAATGGCCATTCCCTCTTGTTATGCACACAGCTTTCTCCACGGTATTGCCATTGTGTGTGTGTGTGTGTGTGTGTGTGTGTGTGTGTGTGTGTGTGTGTGCGTGTGTTCTTCTTCCACAGCTTTCTCCACGGTATTGCCATTATGTGTGTGTGTGTGTGTGTGTGTGTGTGTGTGTGTGTGTGTGTGTGTGTGTGTGTGTGTGTGCGCGCGTGAGTTCTTCTTCTTCTTCTTTTTTTTCTTTGTCCGGTGGCTGGGAAGGTGGCCCTGAATGGTATTGTATTTCCATCTGATTACATCAGGCTTTGAACTCCTGACCTGTTTAGTGACAGTGACATGTGTGTACCACAACCACATGGACTGGTAAACATTCCTAAAGATCGTCCTTGCGTGTTTAGCAAATTAGAGGTCTGCTATTGAAGAACCCTAGTTCGAAAGACAGCTTAAAAAAAAAAAAAAGCCTTCAAAGTTCAAAGTTCAAAGCATACATGCAAGCGCACGTCGTGCGGGCGGTTCCCTATGTGCGGCGCACGCGCCCAACCGATCCCGTGCGGCGCACGCAAGTGCGGAGAACGACCCGTCACCCCCCTTAGAAGAAAAAAAAAAGGCCGGGGTCGAAACGGTGTGTTTGAGGCCCCCCACCAAAATTATAAGCGAGATGAAAAAAAGAATTACAGGAGTACTGCCTCACCTTGCTCCTCCTCCCCTTCCTCATCCTCCATGTCTCCTCCTCCTCCTCGTACTTCCTCATCTCCCATGCCTCCTCGTCTCCTTCCCTTCCTCGTGTCCTCCCCTTCCTCGCCGTTCATGTCTTTTCCTCCCACTCGTCCTCCTCCTCCTGCCCTTCCTCTTTTCCCTCCGTCCAGCTCTTCTCCTCCCCCATCTCGACTCCTCCTCCTCTCCATATCCCCTCTCCTTGCCATATCCCCATCTTCCTGTCATACGCCCCCCCGTTCCCCCTCCCCCCAAAAAATAAAATAATAATAATAAAAATAAAAAACCTGCACGATTCCGCACATGCACCCCCCGCACGGAACTCCGTACAGAACTCCCCGTACAGAACTCCGTACAGAACTCCGCACGAATGTGCGGCCCGTGCGGTTGCAAGTATGCTTCAAAGTTGAAACCTTCAAATGCGTGAAATGACCTCACAATGGATGAGTACCGGGGCACCTCCTGTGGCCTAGTCACCACCCTCTACTACAACCTGGACCTTTTTTTTTTTTTTTTTTTTTT